TAACGGGGTGAATCGTTACATAACAATTTATAAGAAATTGTTAATAGAATATAACTATAAGAGTTATATTCTCAGAATATTGTCATAAGGACAATATTCTGTAGCACTTCAAGTGGTTCCTAATTGGTTGATATAGGCCATTATATCAACCAACGAAGACGCGCCAGGACAGACGCACGCAATGAGTGGTGAGCAGATAACTGATTTACACATTTGTATTTAGACATAGTTAGATGAAGATAAATAGTGATTTATTGCAGACATTAGCTATTATAAATGCAGTTCTACTTTTTACTCTAACCGAGTACTCGCTTCTTCTTACCGTCTTCCTCTGCACGTACGAGTGTACGTGAAGTTACGAGGCACCGCCTTATTCTGTTATCAGAATAAGTAGCTTGTACTGTCACCAGTACAAGCTTCAGGGTGCCCCGTTACACCTGGTAGCACTTCGTAGTCCGTCCAAGGACCGCGTTCACATCCAACATGAATATGTTGGATGATGAAGATGACCAAAGCTTTCACGCTATGCGTGACGGCTACTCCCATTTGAGCGATGTCGAATGGGATGCGGTTGAACGAATGGGTTCGACCATGGGCATCCATGCTGTTAGCGTCATGCTAGAGGCTCTCAATAGAGATGCCCAACATGCTACTATCGCCAAGTTCATTCAAAATGAACTTGACGCAGAACGCGAGAAAGTAGCCTTGCTTCACCAACAAGGTTCTCAACAAGCAGAGTTGTTGAGAGAACAAGGTGCTCAACAGTTTGAACTGTTGGAGACAGCAGCAGGCTGCTGCTGGCGGGTCGATGCACTCGCGTCGGCCCGAGACTTTGAAGATTGACATCTCCAAAGTATAGGGGGTCGAAGAAGACTCCCTCTTGAGATGGTTCGTCGAAGTGGATGACGCCATAAGGGCGCGTCGCATCGACGACGGGGATATGCAAGTTGCATTTGCCCAGTCAAATCTGGCAGGACGTGCCAAGACTTGGGCACTGGGGCTCAAGCTGCACGACCCATACGCGTTTGGGTCGTTGGAAGTCTTCAAGTCGCGGCTCAGACAAACGTTTGAACCGCCTAGAGCTGAGTTCAGAGCTCGAACCGAACTCTTGAAGCTCAAGCAGGGTAAGCGTGATGTGCACGCTTACGCTCAACATATACGACATCTCACGAGTTGTATAAGTTCCAATCCGGTGGATGAACACACGTTGGTTTCGGTGTTCATGCAGGGTCTTGCGGATGGTCCCGTCAAGACTCACCTGTTCCGGCTTGAACTAGATTCACTAGAACAAGCCATTTCCATTGCGGAGCAGGAAGACTTCAGTCTGAGACAGGCTCACGCCAGCTCGACATCATATCGTCAACCGAGACGATATGACAACGGAGGTCCAGAGCCGATGGAACTCTGTTATGTAGAGAGCGAGAAGGCTCGCTCTACAGGCTACAAGAAGTTGCAGAGATGCAACAGATGTCAAAAGACAGGACACTACGCTTACGAGTGTAGTGCCCCTCGTCCAGTGTCTCGCGACACTGGGCGTAGTGACCGTCCACCCATGAGAAAGGGGCAGGGACGAGGGTCCGCAGTTGGTGCAAAGACGCAACAACGGGATGGACCGTCAAAAAACGGACAGGATCAGTAGGTGCGGAGCACCCTACTGATCCAGCAACGTCAAGAGAATTTGTAGGCCTCTTGATGAAGGTTGCTCCCAACACACAGACATTGTGCGTTGCTGCTCTAGGTAATGAGATCTCACTCATTACCTTGAAACTCGAAGTGACGAATAAGTTGTCCCTTCGAGCTCTAGTCGATTGTGGGGCGTCCAACAATTTTGTGCGACGCCAATCGCTAGAAGATGGTCACTTTAAATTCAGTGAATGTGACACACCTCCTACGAGGATGACGGTACGTCTTGCGACAGGCGCATCCGTAACCGAGTCATGAAGCGTATAGTGAAGATTCACTATACGCTAGAAGATACCCAATACGACGATGACGTTATCGTATTGGATTTGGATGACAAATTTGATGTCATCCTTGGAATACCGTGGCTCAGAAGGTACGAACCACGGGTAAACTGGCAACATCGGACAGTAACGATGCCTGCCGCTTGTTCATCAGATGGCCATCTGATGAACATTTTGGAGCGTCCACAAGCGTGTGGATGTACTACGAGTGAGTGCGATGGCCTCACTTGTGGTACGGTCGTTAGTACGACTGCACAAAACCTTAGTGTACCAAACGGTTACACTTCGGAGCAAAGTTCCGGCGGCTGTGAGGAAACACAGGCTGCGCCGAAGGTCCACCACTCGAATAAGTCGGGTGGACTGGGACAAAGATGTATCCCTAGAGGGGAACATCTAGAAGAGAAACAATCGATCGCTCAGGTTAAGCGAAACGATAATCCTAGATCGACTGGAGAGTCTTTCGTAGAGGATCTCGCTGTGGTTGCGCAACCCCAGCTAGAGGAAGTAAAGGGAATAAGTCCCAAGATTACAAATACGGCGGAAATAAGTTCCCCGAAACCCGCGGGAATAAGTCCCCGGGAAGACGAAGGAATAAGTCCTTCGAAGCCTGAGGGAATAAGTCCCCAGGAAATGACAGAGACATTGAATGTCATAGTCAATAACGGATCATGTGTAGGCGCTTATACACTTGATCTGATTGCGCCTCCGAAGTTAACTTCGGAGATCACTCAGTTGCCAACGCTCGAACATTAAAGATTCTTGCGTGATCTGCGTAGTGGCAAAGTCAAGCAGATCTGCATACTCGTCGCTGAAGACGAGTATGTAACCGACATAAGGTCAGCAACAGTGTTTACTGAGAACGAGAGAGTTCTCAGTAGTTCATCTATGGACGAGAGTGCCCTAGATGAAAAGACACGAATTGAGCGATATGAGTCCCAATCATGGGAATCGCTCAAGGAAAATCCTCTCTATGAAGATTTGGTTGAATTCAAGGATGTATTCCCTGAAACTGTTCCGTGCGAATTACCGAAGGATAAAGGTATTCGACACGAAGTCGAGCTTAAACCAGGCTCGAAGTACTGTGTCATGAAGCAGTGGCCACTGCCTCGTGAACAAGTACTTGCGATCGACAAGTTCTTTGCCGATCGTTTAGCAGCGGGCCATGTGAGGGAATCAACTTCCCCACATAGCTCTCCGACCTTCTGTGTGCGAAAAGCAACAGGAGGGTGGCGGATAGTGCACGCGTTTAACAAATTGAACGCTGCAACGGTACCGGCTCAGACGCCGATACCGAGGAAGGACGTAATCATTGATGGTATGTCAAAGAGTACCATCTTTTCGTCCATGGATTTGATGGATGGCTTCTATCAAATCCTAATGCGGGAACGGGATATACCCTATACCGCAGTTAGCACGCCTAGCGGCATGCTCTGGGAATGGCTAGTAATGCCACAAGGGCTCAGTAATGCCCCTGCCACGTTCAACAGGTGTGTATCACATCTGTTGAGGCCAGTACGAGAATTCGCGCCGAGTTATTTCGATGACGTATTCATCCATAGTCGAGCTATGGATGGAAAGTCGGACGTTGAGGTTCACAAGTACCACGTCCGACAAGTTCTTACAATCATGCGAAAGCATCAATTGTATGCAAACCTCAAGAAGTGTATATTTGCAGCAAGCGAAATACCACTTCTTGGGTGCATCGTTGGTAAGAACGGTGTACGTCCTGATCCCGAAAAGATCAAGGCGATCACCGACTGGCCCGTGCCGGTCGATGTCAAAGGTCTTCGAAAATTCCTTAGGCTAGCGGCGTATTTGCATAAGTATTCACGCAATTACGCCGAGATGACTGTACACCTCTCTCGTTTGTTGAAAAAGAACGAGAGGTGGTTATGGAACGCTGAATGTCAACGCTCCTTTGAGGGTATCAAGCAGAGCTTGATACAATCCCCAGTCCTAGCAATAGCCGATCAGGACAGGCCATTTCATGTGGTCTGTGATGCCAGCGATTTCGCAATCGGCTGTGCATTAATGCAGTACGACCTTGAAGGCGTTGAACGCGTCGTCTGCTATCAGTCGCGTCAGCTGCAACCAGCTGAGCGGAACTATCCAGTGCATGACAAGGAACTCCTTGCCATGAAGTATGCACTCGCGAAGTTCAGAGTCTATCTATTAGGAGATAGACTCTTCGTTGTTTACACTGACCATGCGTCCTTACGCACGGCAGTGAACAGCCCGCACCTTTCACAACGAATGGCGCGGTGGTTGTCATTCTTTGCAGAATACAACTTTACGGTCGAGTACAAACCAGGACGACTTAATGTCGTCGCTGATGCACTCTCACGTCGTCCCGACTTTGAAACAGTCGCGAAACCCAACAGTGAGACAGTCACTGTTGCGGTTATGACGTCCTCAGTTCCATCTACAACGTTGTATGATGATGTGAGGCGGGCATACGCCCAAGATGGTGAGATAGTGAAGTTGTTGTCACATCTCTCCCAACCATCTCGAGAATCGTTGAAACGATTGTCGTCTGCGTATCGATCTGCATCAGATCGATACACTACTCGTAACGGTTTACTGTACTATACAGCCGTTTCTGGTGACACACCACGTGTTGTCATTCCAGATGATATTGATCTGCGTTTGCGGATCATGTTCGAGTATCACGATGCTCCTATAGGAGGACATCGTGGCCGAGAGAAAACATATCTCACGGTAAGTCGAGACTTTTACTGGCCCCGCCAGTATCAGTTTGTGCGAAAGTATGTTCGCGCATGCGAAGTCTGCCAACGAGTTAAGTCAAGTCCTTCACTGCGTGCACCTTTACAGCCTCTACCGGTTCCGGCTGAGTGCTGGGAATCCATCTCAATGGATTTCGTCTTCGGGTTACCCAAAGACGCACGCGGGAATACGGGTATTCTCGTATTTGTTGACAGATTCAGCAAAATGGTACACCTTGTGGCTGTACCAGAGACAATCACGGCAAGTGGCTGTGCTTGTGTCTTTATTGACACCATCTTCCGACTTCATGGGTTGCCCCGTGAACTCGTATCAGACAGAGATCCACGATTCACTGCTGATTTCTGGCGTTCCGTGTTCAAATCACTCGGAACGCGCTTGAAGATGTCAACATCTGATCATCCAGAGTCAGATGGTCAGACGGAACGTGCCAATCGTGTCCTTGAAGAGATACTTCGAGGATACGTACACTCCTTTAAGAGTTGGAGTGAGTTTTTGCCGATGGTAGAGTTTGCCATCAACAACTCGGTGCATGCGTCCACGACACATACACCGTTTTACGTGAATGGCTTGCGCCATCCGCGTGTACCCACCTTACTAGAGTGTAACTCTGGTTTAAGGGGGGGAGGGACTCGCGCGAGCAAAAACCGATTTGGTTCACGCTCATCATGCTCTGATGAAGAAGTCATTGCGTTTGATGCCGATATCGATAACATCGATATCGAAGAAGATGATGCCAATGAGAGTGCGGAAGCCCTCACTGAAGACAATGATCCCAGTGAGAGTGCGGAAGCCCTCACTGAAGAAAAGGTTGTTGTCGCTGCAGTGCGCTCACAGCACACTGAAGCTAACGAGTCATCAGATGAGTTCATACTGGCTCGTGAAACGGTAGTCCGTTTTGTGCAAGACTCCATCGCCGAAGCGGTGGATAAGCAAAAGCAAAACGCTGACAAGAATGGAAGGGCAAACACTCTTTTATTTAATAAAGGTGACTTAGTCCTACTGTCTACGGTTAATCTACCAAAACATGTAGTGACTAACTTGGGTAGCAGTAAACTACTACCCAAGTACATTGGCCCATTTCGTGTATTGCACCGCCTAGGCAATGCATACACGATCGAGTTACCACGTAAGATG